CTAGGAACAAGTGCATCGCTTCTAGTAACAAGTGCCTTACTAGTAGTAACAAGAAGCTATGCTGTGGTTATGCGGTGTTGGTGATGCCAAGCACAACAAAACTCCAAAACTGCTGTTGACGATGGTTCGCAACAGTTGTGGCAGCGGTTTCGAGGTTCCAAGTGCCAGAGGGCATTTCAGAACAACACGCCCTATACAAAGGAATCCTTCACATGCTGCTGTTTGGGGAGTTTACCCTTGTGATGATGTCATGCCATGAGTCATGCCCCAGTGAACCGGCTGAAACTTCTTGCACCCTGCTTTGCTCAAGACTGGGGGTGTACGTTGAGCGTGATAGCGTGAGCCATTCAGGGGCATAGGTTGTTTGGCGGCATAGACGTCGTGGTCCACGCGCCTGAGAATTGGACGGCAAACTGCAGTGGAATTGGACGGCACCCAAAAGAAAGAAGTCTTTCCGTGACCGAAATCATCCAGTGCTGTTTGCCATTTGTGCAAATCTTTCAATCTTTGAGGACATGGTCGGGGGCCAAGTTGGAGCTGCTCCTTGCAAGAATGAGTTCGGAAATCAGGAGATCTTGATGGTACAGTGAGTTTGTGGTAAGTGCAGCATCAAGCAGAGAAGCATTATTTCCCCATCCCCAAGCAGACTTTGACTACTTCGAGGAGCTAGAGATTGAGTCGACCGGAAATGTGAGGCACATGAGTTGCAGATGTTGCAGTGAATTGGACTAAACTACTAAACGTCAAATCTTTAGCGTATGCCACGGAATCCGCTTGGGAGGCTGCCCTTTACCGGTTTTTGCTTGGGACCAGCCAAGGCCATTTGTTTGGAGTCGAGCAGTTGTCAGATCTATGTCTAGCCAAACCTTGCAAGCGTTCTCTTTTTTTGCATGTTTTTACTACTGAACCTTGCAAAAGTCGCATCCAAGGACTGCCCCTCCGAGCGTTTGGAGGAGAGATCAGAGTGCACTCAAGCATGAAAACCTCGGTTCCGACTCTACGACCGTTGCTGGTAGAGACGGAAGGTGTCGCGGTTCCGCCGAGCCTGCGCATCGGTCGCTAGGGAGTCCGTTGCCGCGCAGTGCTGTCAGACTGCGCAGGCAAGATGTCGTTATGTCGTTCATTCACTCTTTTTTGGGGATCTGAAAGGCTCTTTTTTGGTTTCGTTGCATTGCACATGAGGTTTGCATGGATGGCTGTTTTTCTTTTTCTCTGTTTGTTTTCCTCAAGGAACCGAAGGCTTGTGGACGCGTGGAAGCCCAGAAAAGTGGCTGTGGGGACGGTTGCCATGGTTGTATCACTTTGTTGATGTGTTTGGTTCCTCGATCTTCCTTGGCGATGCTTGGGAACTTTTTGCATGTTGCGATTTGTGTCACCCAATTCATTCCGTGTTTTCTCTCGCAGGTGGTCAGTGCCAGTGACGTCCCGGAAAGGTATTGGTCGATTGATGATTGAAAGCTCTAGACTTTGCTTGGAGGCACCAGAGTGGATCAAATACTTGCAGTTACTTGCAAAGAAGAGAAAACCAAGAAGCGGCTACGTCGTTGATATCGGGCAATTGTCAGTTGGTGAACCAGAACTTTCTCCATTTTGACTTGCAGCTTGCGCTTGCAACTCAGTGACACAGGACCATTCGTTCACTCACACTTTTACGAATCACCGATACAAACGAAATCAGCTGAGAGTCTTGTGTTTTTCAGTCTCTGGGTGCCGTGAGGCCTTGTCAAAGTGTGAAGCTCACTATTTGCACGCAAAGGAAATTCTGATAGTGAAGCCCTGGAGCATTGGAGAAGTGCATTTGGAGTTTGGGCGAGTGGAGCGAGCTGAGGTGAAGATGCCGAAGACCAACTTTGGCTCTGGGCCGCTTGGACTCCGAAGGGATTCCGAACGCCCAAGACAGACAAAACTACAGTATACAAAAATGAAGCTTTTCTTTACAGAAGAGAAGGAGATGAAAAAAGGAAGTAAAGGGCTGGTAAGAGAAATAACAACATACTTTTGGGGGAGGCCCTAGGCTAATACTTTCCATTTGTCATTTCTTCTTTGATCCTTTGTAAACTGTGAAGGTGTTGACTCAACTCAACCGGGTAACCGAGCGAGAAAACTAAGCAGCTGGCATACTCTAATATCCCAGACCCAACTGTCAAACAGTCAACGGCTCAAACCATTCCAACTTGTGGTGACCAACTCGGACCTTCTGGGCTTGTTTCAGCGCTCGGCTCAATTGGCTCAAGGTCAGGACCGACAATTCAGACAAAAACAGAACATACGCAAATCTATTGAACATGCTGAGTTGTACTGACATGTTGCTTTATCATGCATTGTTTCGGTAAAAGATGTCAAAAGCTTTCAACCCACCTTGAACTTGTGAGGTGAGACAAGCAGGGAGACAAGCAGAAAGACCAGCAGGGAGACAAGTGGGAGACAGGTGTAAAATCACCCGGCCGAGAGTATCGAAGCAGGGAAACAAGCAAAGAGACAAGTGCATCCGGCCAAGGCCAAGAGTATCTAACCAGGAGAGAGGTAGGGAACACCTCTGGCCAAGTGTATCCAGGGTAGCCTGAGACCAGTGTAAAGTCATGTGGCCAAGAGCGTCTAAGCAGGGAGTAAGCAAAGAGGCAAGTGGAGACAAGTGTAAAAACATCCGGCCAAGTGTATCCAGAGTAGGCAGAGGAAACGCCCCCGGAGACAGAGCCAAAATCATCCGACCCAGGCATGCAACCCTTTAAACAGAGTATAAGAACCCCACACAGGTAAACCTGTTTGGGGAACAAGTGTACAATCATGCCGCCAGAGCGCCCAGAGTGTATTGGAGGCAAGGAAGACAAGGAGACGAGCGTACTGGGAAACAACTGTAAAATCGTTCGGCCAAAGCAGTGCGGCAGAAACGCAAGCCCGGAGACAAATGTAAAATCATGCGGCCCGGGCATGCAACCATCTCAAAGGAGTAAAAACCCCTTGCGGATAAACCCGTTCGAGGAAAAACACCTTTTTACAAGGGTAGTCTGAGGGCTTTAAATCGGTCATTAGCAAAAAAGTTTCTTGAGGGTTGAGTTTCTCTCAGGATGACTTGGTGAGAAGTCAGGAGTGGCGGGAGATGATGGCGGGATATGGGTGACAGGGATTACCGCAGTGTGCTTGAAGGTATTGCGACTTTCCTCTGTCGACGTGTCAACGGCACCAGGAGCTTTGATCAATGTTTCGAGGAAGCGGACGGGAGCGGAAGATGCAAATGCACAAGACTTGTTCGACAAGGAGAGAGGGGCGGAGCATGGCGGAGCAGCAGACGGCAGTGGACTGCGTGACAGTCTTACAGAAGATGAGGATCGCTCGACGTGGAGTTTATGAATCTAGATTGCCCAAGTTTCTCTTTGCGAAACTCAGCGCCATTCAGCGCCAAACCGACAACTTGTTCGAAACCAAGAGTGAAGATCTCGGCCGGTGACACACTGAAGTGCCAAAAAGCAGCACAATACAACCTTCAATCCGATTTGTGAAGCACCTACTTGTGAAGAATCAAAACAGCATACATTGTATTGAATGCAAATGGGGATTTCATTTGATCAACAGAAAGCCGATGTGAAATCCATGTGTTGTTTTTCCCTGACGTGACGTTGGTTCTTCCTGCGCAGCCATTGATTAGCAAGAGATGGTACCCAACCGTTGCTCTTTTTTGTCTTGTGGAAAGCACCGCAGTCGCTTCTTTTGTCACAAGAACGATCAGACTCACCTCACTCATATTGAAGATCACAGATGGATGTTGGGTTGTGAGTGTGTATTTTGCCATGGCACGTCCAAGGTGCAACATGAGTTGCGAATGCAGTTCTCTTCACTTCACAAGTTCTTGTTTTGCCATGTTTTGTGGTGGTTTTCCCGCATCTTTGCAGGTCTACCTGGGAGTTGCAGGCTGTGATTCCTGTCCTGTACACACACCAGAAGGCCTTAACGGGTTTAATTCCATGTTGTAAGTGTTTTTCTTCGACATTATTCAACTATATACTTGAAGTTACTTGAATGTGGTTCTATTGCTACTAGATTGGAGGCCATCGCTAGTAGGTTGGAGGCCATCGTTGCTTGAATGTGTTTCTTATTGCTTCATACGTCTCCACTTCACTTCGATGCCTTTGAGGTGGCTCGCCGTCCTATCCGCCGGGAGGGTCTTTTGCGGCTCAATGCGGGCCGTGCCGTGCTCTGTGACGCAAGTGGCCGCAAGCTGGATGAGGAGACTGCAGTGGCCCCAGATGCAGTGCGGGAAGGGCGTGATCTCATATGATTTCTGTGTCCTTTAGGCAAGTCAAAACCATTTGGGAACCGAAAAGATGGGAAGAAGCAAGTCATATCTGTTTTTTGACGTGCCAGCTGTTCTTACAAGATCTTACAAGCACTTTTGAAGTGCTGTTCTTCTTGCCTTCATAAAGTCAACTTCTCACTGTTACGTAGGTTGGAGGCCATCGCTAGTAGGTTGGATGGGCTTGAGAACTCTAGACAAAGTGCTTTCAGGTGACCACGGCTTTGATAGAGCAGTTGAAGAGTGGAGAAGAAATTGCTTCTTGGAAGCCACACCTGTCTTACACAGACGTCGTGTTGTTTTTGCCTTGTAGCACACCCGTGTATTGCTTCTCATTAGCACTTTACACCTGTGTATTGGATCTCATTAGCACGTTTTGCCCTGAGGACTTCCCAGGACATTTGTTGGAGCCAGATCCATCAGATGCAGCACAGCGCCAGCTCATGCATCAGCGAGAACCACCCACAATGCGGGATCGTATGCAGACTTTAGGTAGACGAGGTGGGGAGAGAAAGTGAATGAAAGCGATGCATACAGGAACAAGTAAGGAATAGGTGCCTTGCTGCTAGTAGCGATGCACCTTGCTACTAGTAGCTTCTTGCTTCGAATCGACTTCGTACCATCCTGATTCCTCGTGCCGCATGGAGGTGGAAGACCAACTGGAGAGCTGCCTAAACAGTCGGAGCCTGCCGATTCCAGCATTGCCTTTCTCAGTCATTTATGCCAGCATTTGTTTGAAAAAAGCAGCGCTTTGCCGAGGTTCAAACGGCCTCGACTAGCAGAGGCTCGGAGTCTTTCTTTTTAAATAGGTCCGTACATGGAATAAACGTGTGACGTGGCATGGTCGCTGTTCGCAGGAGTTTGCACGCGGATTGTGGCTCATTTGCAGGTTGTAGCCAGAGTGGTATGTCATGGCGGTCCCCAGGCAGCATCAAATGGATTCAATTGATGAGTCCAAGGTTGTTGTGCACCATGCTTGTTGCTGCTGTTACGACGGCTGTATACCGGAGCTGAGCCAGTGTGGTTGCGCAGCACAAAAGACGTTGCTATGTTTGGAACTTGATATTTGCTGCAAAACACGCACACCGTGTTTGTGCTGCGGATGCTGCGCTTTTAGATGTGTGGACTTGACTACATGCTGCAAAGTGCAGAGCCAGTTCTTTTGCTGTGTGGGCGGATCGGCATTTCCTCCAGACGGTTCAGTCCCGTGCATGTTGAATGTATGCTTCCTGAACCTATTCCCCAAGATCGGCTGCTGTGTGAAGCTGGGTGAAATGCACGAAGCGAGCAGCAGCGATTCAGAGTGATTTACCGCATTGATTGTTGAAAGAGGACTCAATTCTGCCAAAGGTTTGTCAGCAGAAGGTAGTCGAGTGATGCGAATACTGCATCGGAGCTGAATCTTGGAGTGTCAAAGGTGCTTGCGGATTTCTTTTGCGGAATTGCTTTTGCAGAGTGCTTAGTCGACACAAAGTCATGGCAATTACTCATGCACAGTTTCCTACCAGAAACGAGTATGACACACTATGATCCAGCAAAGGTAGATTTAAAAAGGCCAGAGAGGGTTGATGCCTGCCAGTTCTAGCAGCAAACTGTCGGTCTGACAAGCATTTTGGCTCAGCCCTTTTGCGGACTTCAACTTTGCGATTGCCGACCTTTGCTGGTTCTCGTTTCTTTCATGCAAAGCCTTTTCCACTTTGAGAGGCAAAGCCAATATGGCCACCTTTTTGGCGTGTTGTAGGTATTCACAATCTACAGACAATGATTGAATTGAATTTGATAGATTGTAGAGCTTCGCAGACCGGCGATGCCGTTTGGGCGCGTGTTCGCTATCAATTGTTGTTGTTCCTTTCGCATGCGTCCCGCGCGCGCCCTATGATCCTTCGCTTCGTAGGTAAAACGAAATGACGTGTTTTTTCAATTGCAGTGTTCTGGCTCTCAGTTGAATGGCTGAGACTCCTGGGTCCTCGGGAGCCTCAGATTCTCACGAGTTCCGGCGGCGTGCGTGTCAGTTCTGCAAGGTCTTCGGCAAGTTGCAAGACTTGGTCTACGGCCCTGGATCTGACGACACACTGCGGGAACGAGCGCTGGGGCCTTTGAGCAGTTGCTACATCGGGATCCTTGAGGCCTCGCACCAACTCAGATATCCTGAACTGAGCACTCCTGGATCAGCGGGAGCTGGAACCCGGCAGCTCCTACATCACCCAAGGCTGGGTTGCCACCCCCACCTAGACGAAGGTCTCCCGGTTGAGGTCAAGCAGGAAGGAGCGAAGACAGAGGAGCCGTTCAGCCCGCCGAGAGGGAAAGCACAATAAGAAGAAGAGAGACAGCGGAAGGGAGAAGAAGCAGAGGCCTGAGAGATCGCCGTCTAGAGGAGTTACCAAGACCCCAGAGCCTGAAGGTCTGGAAGGACAAGCAGGGTCTCCCGGGGCCAGAGAGGGTGGGAGATCAGAACAAGAGGAAGAGCCACAGTCCGACTACCAATCCACAAGGAGCCACCTGTCCCACCACCTGGGTGGAGCGGGGCCCCATTGTCAGGACCTACAAGAAGGTCAAGAGATCCAAAGGAGATGGAGCATGATGGAGCAAGCGTGTCTCCCTACCTTCACTACTTCGAGTGGAGCAAACGGGGAGGCCAGTCTCCCAGATAAACAAGAGCGGGAAGTGTGCATGGAATTCCCGGTTAACTAGACAAAGAACTCCGTCCCCAAGCATGAGCAGAAAGGTAAGCGTTATGAAGACCAGCGGCTAACACCCCCGGGAAACAGCAGTGGACAGTTGATGTGGCCGCTAGGACTTGCCAAGATTTCGGGAGTGCAAGCCATAGTCGATGAGCTGACTCCTGGCGGGAGTGCCCCCTCCATGGACGTCAACAAGCAGCCCCAATGAAAGGCGAGGACATCATGGTGCAAAGCAGTAGCGACCCAGCACCGAAGTCTTTTCGACACGCGTGCTAGTGTACCCGAGCGCCTCTGGAAGCGGCGTGAGATCGCTGGTTGGAAGAGGAAACATAGTGGCGAACGCGTCAACGCCCTGGAGATGCGTGCCATACTCACCTCTGTGAAATAGAAGATCTGGAGGCGTAAGCGTGTGGCATACGTTTCCTGCATCTCACCGATAGCTTAGTGTGCTGGCACTCGCTTTCACGTGGGCGAAGTTCCAGTCGGAAGTTGAGACCGATTATCACGCAGTTGAATTCCTGTCTTCTGGCGGCAGACCTTCACCCCCTCTGGGGTTACATCCATACGTCACAGCACCCGGCTGATCGCCCCAGCCGGCGCCCTGTACGCTAAAAAGTGCTCAAGTGAAACGCAGGTTTCTTGAAGGTCATACCAAGGAAGATAGCAAAAGGCAGCGCCAGGCCCTTGGGCTTTTGAAAGGGTTGACAGTCTCAGAGAAAACACAGCAGTGATACTCACAGGAACGCACACAGTTCTGTGACTTCCTTGCCCGCAACAACCTGGTGGTTCCACGGCGTCGTGACCTTTGTGACCCACTGCTATCCGAGTACATCGAGTTCTTGTGGTCGGAAGGTGAGGGCCGAGGTTTGGCCTCGGATACTGTTGCCGGCCTCCAGGATTAGACCCCAAACTCAAAGGTCAGCTTCCTCACATGTGGAGGTTGTTGAAAACTTGGCGCACCCAGGAAGTCCCAAATCCGAGCAAGCGCTCTTTGCCGTGGTAGGATGGAGTTTTTTCCATGGCCACTTCGGATTCGGGGTCTCCTTTCTTCCAGGACATGACCATGGATGGGCCTAAGTCTGTAGCTGTTATTCTTTCGTTAGGGTTGACTAAGTCAGGGCAGCAGAATCGGTCACCATGCGGGTCGTGCGCTCAAACGGCTCTGGCAATGGAAGGCCAGCCAGACGAACAAGACCCACCTGTGTCCAAAAGTTCATGAGTGGAGGCGAATGTTTAAAACCTCCTTGGAAGCTCTGCAACTCACTTTGTTGGAATTCCGACCATACTCTCTAAGGCGAGGGGGTGCCACGTTCTGGTTTGGAAAGCGCGGAAACTTTGACAAACTTTTGATTGCAGGTCGATGGCAAGCAGCTCGAACAGCTCGCATCTACATAAACGAAGGATTGGCCATCCTTCATGACTTGAAGCTCCCAAGTAAAGCCCTACTACCTTTCTCTCGACTGTTTCACAGTCAGAAGACTCCTCCACGACCAGCCCACTTGAGCACGCGCAAGAAGTGCAGAAAAGGGGGAACGTGGAAAGAGGGGAAGGGGAGGGGCAGTTTTTCTTTCTTTAACAGATTCTGTTTTAAGAAAAGCTTGGCTCCAAGCTCTTGGTATGGCAGGAGACTTGGGGAAAGCATAGGCGGGTAGGTCTCTTCTTTCGGCTTGGCGGAGAAGTGACCTACTGAGCCCCTAAGGGTCGAGGCACCCTATCGTCTTTAGGAAGACGTGAGTCTGTTGAAAGCACCATTGTTTTTACATTTCTTATGATCCAACTGCGGCGCGCATTGCAAAGGAGTCAGTTGAGTTTATATATATATATATATACGGTGCCCCCGCACCATTCCATAGAGGCTCGCAAAAAGTGCACCAAACACCGTCAATTACAGTAGGCCTTGCGAGGGGCAAATATACACACGATGGAAGATATGCGTGCTTGACACCCGAGGTTGGCAAGACATGTCAGCTCCAAGGCAAGTGCAGATGGACTCCATTGACGAGACCAAGGTCGTTGTGCACAGTGCTTGCTGCTGCTGCTATGATGGCTGCATTCCCGAGTTCAACAACATCGGCTGCGCAGCACAGGAGACATTGCTTTGCTTGGAGGCTGATGTTTGCTGCAAGACAAATACACCATGCTTGTGCTGCGGATGCTGTGCGATTAGGTGCATCCCGATCACTACATGCTGCAAAGCACAGAGCCAGTTCTTTTGCTGTGTAGCCGGGTCAGCACTTCCTCCAGACGGTGAAGTTCCATGCATGTTCAATGTGTGTTTCCTGAACCTATTTCCCAAGATCGGCTGTTGCATGAAGCTGGGTGAATTGAAGGGATGAGAGTGAAGAGATCTACGCTGAGCGTTGAAGCACCCCATTGATAGAGAGGGGGTGAGGCTGGTTGCAAGATGCCAATTCACAGGCCTTCGAAGAGGGGCCCATTTTTGCCGTATTTTGATGTATGTTCAATTTCACAGTACGGGTAATAAGCAGTTTCAAGGCAAGAGTCCTTGCAGGCTTTGCTGCTGGACTGCTGGTCTAGCGAGAGAGATTTTGCCGTGTGAACTGGTTGGCAAGTGTGCATCCCCTTGCGGATTGCTCCGTTTAGCAACTGGTATAACCGGCTTTCTCCTGGCATTTTGGGACTTATTGGTCCAGAACAAAAAGGGCAAGTAGCTGTTGTGTCGTGACGCATTCTGCAACCACAAAGATCACAAAAGTGATAATAGTGATCAAATATCGTCATATGATCAAATAGTCACGCTGTGCTTCGCGCACTTAGTGCTTTCATGTGCATTCGTTTTGGCTCGAGCAACTTGGCAGCCCGGTCAAGAATCCACAGCATCCAGACTTTTGGTTCCTTTGCCTAAAGACGGTAAGAAAAACTCTAGCTGTATTGTGCTTTCATGTTTTTTTCTGGTTCCACCCTGTCAGACAACCATGAAACGAAACTGCACACCCGAGGTTGGCAAGACATGTCAGCTCCAAGGCAAGTGCAGATGGACTCCATTGACGAGACCAAGGTCGTTGTGCACAGTGCTTGCTGCTGCTGCTATGATGGCTGCATTCCCGAGTTCAACAACATCGGCTGCGCAGCACAGGAGACATTGCTTTGCTTGGAGGCTGATGTTTGCTGCAAGACAAATACACCATGCTTGTGCTGCGGATGCTGTGCGATTAGGTGCATTCCGATCACTACATGCTGCAAAGCACAGAGCCAGTTCTTTTGCTGTGTAGCTGGGTCAGCACTTCCTCCAGACGGTGAAGTTCCATGCATGTTCAATGTGTGTTTCCTGAACCTATTTCCCAAGATCGGCTGTTGCATGAAGCTGGGTGAATTGAAGGGATGAGAGTGAAGAGATCTACGCTGAGCGTTGAAGCACCCCACTGATAGAGAGGGATGAGGCTGGTTGCAAAATGCCAATTCACAGGCCTTCGAAGAGGGGCC